CCCCCGAGCTGGGCGGTTCTGCAGAAGCGGTTGCTGTTTTCCACGGTGAATCAGCTGCTGAAAAGGCTGCTTAGGGTTACCTCAGGGATGGTTCTGCTCCTTAAGCTTGCTTTAGACCGTCACTTTCCTCTAGTTATTCGTCTGCCCTTAGGACAAGAAATGTACTTTGCTTCCTTGCTCTTTTTCATTTACTTTACTCCTGCTGTCTTTCAGGTGCTAAATGATATTCTCATTTGCTAGGGATAGCTTTCCACCTCGGCTATTGCAAGTGCTGGTCAGCCTCTGGAGCAGCACTGGCTGGGGCTTAGGTGTCAGGTACAACCCACCCGGACTGGGGGTTGTCTGTGGAAGGTGAGATACGCTGCTCCCATCAGAAAAGGGATGAGGACAGGTCTTAGTCCTGTCTGTGCTGGGGCTGCATCTGGCACGAGGGAGGTGAGGGGGGAAGAGGGCTGCTCTTCCCAGCGGCAGTCACCATTATGCTGGAGTAGGTGAATTATTAAACCATATGCAGATGGTGTTTTCATTGTCATTTTAAATGGATCTGAGTGGGCTGCTGTGGGAAGGAGCGTGCCTTCATTCCTCTTTCTGACATCTCCCTTGGGCAGTTGAGCAGTGAGTGGGACCCAGGAGCTAGCTGACCTCTGAAAATTGCCCAAACTCTCCCTTTCCTCTCTCTCCTTCCCTAGGGAGTGGAAGGGACAGGGAAGCCGCAGCTGCGCGGAGGTAGATCTACCCTTCTCGGTGCCAGACCGGCTGTGTGCCATGCTAAAAGGAATGCGCAGCCGCAACCTCAGAATGTGGTTCCTCCAGTCAGTCTTTCCGCAACTATGCTGCCCTGAACAGCTCCATCTCCTTATTTTTGCCACTGCACCACTGCCTTAGTTTGCTGCTGATGATTTTGTGGGGCTGTGCAATTAGGAGTAAAATTCATGCTAAAAGCAAAACATTAAAAAAACAGAGATAGTTGTCTTTCTGTAGAACCATATCTGGGGTTCAGAAGTGGTCAAACAAAATGCTTCAAAGGAGTCTTTTAAGAAAGATCTTTTCCCCCCAGTCTTTAGGCATCACTTTGCACCGTACTTGGTAAGAGAGCACTGGAAGGATTCTGTCTTTTGTTTTAGTTAGTATGATGCCTGATACAATCTTCTGTATGAGTTAAACTTATTTTTGTAAGGGTGGCATCTCTCAAATCACAGCACGCCCTCACTTTCCTTTTCTGCCTGGGCAGCAGATGTGCTTCAATTGTCCTCCCTGTTGTCTCAGAGTCCTATGTTAGTCCATGTTCTGCTGTATGTTCCTGGTTAAGCCAAGGAAATTATTTTCAAACTTCTCTTTTGGTTTCATCAGTGGTTTTTAGTGTAGATAGATTACTAGACTGAGCCCTGGAAAGAGACAACTGAATTCAAAGACAAGCAATTTGTAGATCCCCCTGTGTGGTGACGTATGCGTGGGTGAAAGGACTGCGCCGTATCCTGCAGTTTCACTTCACCTCTGGTTCTGCAGATGATGTTTTACAGTGAATAAGCGTGTTTCAGCTCCATCATGAGTTTGTCTACCAAAACCACAGTTTTTAAAAATAGAACACACACAAAAAATCCCTCATTTATATTTAGGGCTAACTTTTTATGCAGAAAAGATTTGAGGTGGTTCCTTTTAGTTCTGTTTTCTTTCTGGTTAACTTGATGATGTGGAGTACATGGGAAGGGCTCCCCTCCGCCCCCCCCCCCTTCCTCTGAAAACTGGTTTGAGCACAGGGAAGGGCCCCCCCCCCCCCCCCCCCCCTTCCTCTGAAAACTGGTTTGTCGAACTATGGAATTTTGATGATTTCTTCATAATGTTACATGGTTTAAGGCTTTTGTGTCTGTACAGTTGAAAGGATTATGTTGTACTTGGGTAGTCACTTGAGCTATTTTCAATTGCTGGTGAGTAGAAGCTGCCGCTTCGGTAGACAGTTGCTGTGCCATTGTTACTGTTGGCTGGAGCGAAATACTGATTTATTTGATAATTATACAAGCCTTAGGCTCTCAACACTAAATAAGTTCTAAAATTTCAGTATTAGATTAAAAGATCAAACAGTGTAGATATGCTCTAAATTGCATAGGCAGTAAAAAATCCAGAGTATATAATTAGTGGATGTCAATATTTGCATAGAAATAATCTGAAGGCTCAAACCAAATAGTGCTGGTGATGCAGGTTGATTTTACTCCCTCAGCAGCACTGGTAAAGGACTGCCTGAAGAGCGCCTGATCAATCCATAAACCTAATGTTTGGCCACATGGAGCGAGGAAGCAGTTTAACTTGCAGTTTTCATACTCTTTGCCAGAAAATGGCTTCTTGGAATCATGTTGCTGGAAAGTGGTTTCTCAGCCACTGTACTGGCTTTTGGAAGTGTAATTGGCCAGGATTGGCCAATGGAATAGTAAGGAAAATTTTTATCTCCTCTTGCTGATAAATTGTTATCATAAAATGCATAAAATTTGTTACTGTTATCCCCACTCAGTGGGGATAATTCCAGAGAACGTAATTTGTAATCGGTGGGGCAGGGTTATAGCCCTGACTTTGTTATTGCTCTGCAAGCCATGCATTTTGTTGTTTTTTAAAAAAAGTATTTTTGGATGCTAGTCTGAATTCATGTAGCTCGATCTTCCTGGCTCTGTTTGCCATGCTCACTTGTCGGTAACGTAGCAGTGGGTCTCTGCTTTCAGTGTGTGGCCTGTGCCTTGAGACATGAGTGGAGCAAAGATGTGCGAAGGTCCTGCTCAGGTTCTGTAAAGATTGACTAGAATGTGCTTGAAAACCACTATTTCTTGTATTTCTTTTGTGCTTTGATTTTTTTTTTTAAACATCTTCTATGAAATATTTCCATTGTTTTTAATAGCCTGTGTTGGTAATCTGTACAACTTCTGGGTGTCAAGTCTGACCCTGGTCCACGTGATCTGTTGAAAACCGCCATCCTAGGAATTCTTGCACAAATTGACTCAGATTTCTGTTGTGATGAATAGTCAGTGACAAACTAGTGGATTTTCCAGGAAATGCAACTGCAAACTGTCTGGCTTCTGCGTAAGGGTGTTCGGAAACCTTGTGAAGATCCAGTGTTTTATCATGAAGCAAATGAGTGAAATCAGCTTCCTGGAATCTGTGGTCATTTGGGCTTTGGATTGTGGTAAAACCTAAAAGTTCCTCATAGCAAATTCTGGTAAAGGCCATAATCAAATTTCTTCTTGGTATGTGGTGGTGGCAGAATGCATCAGGGTGGGTCACGATATGGTGGCTGCCTGTTGGCCTGAGGGGCCTGGCATTCCTCTGGGATGAGACCAGCCACCTTGGTTCTGTCTTGACAGCAAGTCTGAGTCCTGTGAGGAGGATTTGGAGACCAAAATGTTTTCTGTCAGGTTTGGGTATGTAGTTTAATCCCTTGCTCCTCGATTCCTGGATCTCATGGGAGTTGCTGCTGCTAATTGTGCTGAAACGTGGTTTTGTCAGGCGGACAAACTCCCACCAAGGGTCATTGTATGACTTGAATTTGCATGCATCAAACCTCTAGAGAAGAAAAGATGCCATTTGCTTCTGGTCACCCGCCCCCTCCCGAAGCATGACTGTTAGCAGTAAGTTGGTTTCTTCACTAAGTGACTTCAAAAGAATTAGATTTGTTCTGAAATTTCTTTTTAAAGAATGAGCTTCCTACTGTTTCCCTTACAGTTGCTTTGAAGTTTGTAAGAGGAGTCTTGACCTTCTTTTAGTACTTGTGCAGAATGCAAGTGGCATCCTTGTAGAGGGCTACCTAGTGTTTCTCAGTTGTGGTTCTTGGCTCATACCTGTTGAAACACACTCGATCCTTTGGTGGGTCATTCTGGTGATATGATTTCATCGTTTTTGCTAGGACTTGCACTCAGGCACTTAGCATATTGTAGATTTTTTTTTTTGATAAGTTTGAGTGGTTGAGCCATTTTTCTATTTTGTTAAGGAACTTTTAGAGTAGCATGATTCTTAAAATGTGTTTACCTGAAATAGAAGCAACTAACCTTTAGGCCAGCTAAGAACTAAGCTGGACATGAAAGTGACTGATACAAAGCTGATACATGTGTGATAAAGACAATTCAGAAATGACTGATTACAAGTATAGCTGGTACCGCAGCGGCACCAGCAGACATCTGATCTGTGGGTGTTTGGGAGAGTTCACATCTTCAGTTTCTTTGGCTTCCAGCCTGTTTCCTCTCCAGTGTTCCTGTTCTGATGAAAGAGATGTTTCCCCTCATCTCCCCTGCCAGCTAGGAGAAGGAGCTGGTGATGTTAAGATCTATTCTCCCACCTTTTGCCTGTGTTTTTCTGTTTCTAGGTTTGGCTTTGGTGATTCAGCTGGGATTATGGAAAGGGAAAGGCATTCTTGCCATTGTGGATCCTTACAATGTATTGACCCTGGCAGGAGCTCTTTACCTGCTTGGAGGCTGTTTGTGGAAAGCAAAGGCTCCACCATAAAGAATTTCTCCATCTTTTTTTTCACAGATCATCATGGGTTCTTCTAGCTCCTCTGCTCACCCCTCCTGTTCCTGTGATCACAGCCCCACCTTGTTCGCTCTGTCCAGAAGGAGCACACAGGTTCCAGTGGATCAGGAATCTGGTTCCAGAGTTTGGAATCTCCAGCTCGCATGTCAAAGTGCTTTCATCCCCAGCTGAATTCTATGAACTCTTGAAGGTAAGTTGTGGGTTCCAAGTTGCAAGAATGTTCTTCTGGGGGCTAGGAGCTGCAGTGGTTATGGAGAATCATAGATAAGTTGTTAGGAAGGGACATCTGCAGGTTACTAGTCCAGCCTTCTACTTCAAACAGGATTGTTGTCAACCCTAGATCAGGTCAGGCAGGCTTTGTCTAGCTGAGTTATGAAAACAGCTAAGGATGGAGGTTCTACCTCTGGGTGAGCAGTTCCAGTGCTGTGCCATCTTAGTATTTTACAATTTTTTTCTGGTGTCATACCTGAACTTTCCAAAGCTGTTTGTGTCTGCTGCTCAGCCGTAACTAGCAAGAAGAGTTTGGCTCAGTCATCTTTGTAACAGCTCTTCAAGTAGTTGCAGGCTGCGGTTAGATCAGTCCCCTTCAGCCTCCTCTTTGCGATATGAAACAAGCACAGCTCCCTCAGTCCCTCTCAAAGGTCTCTTAGGTCATTACAGTGTGAACCCTGTAATAATAATAATAATCCTGTGTCTCTTAGATAAGTAGTAGGGCTGAGGTGAGAATTTCTTTGTTTAGCTCTGTCACTTGAGTCTTTTCACAATGCGTGTTTAAACTTCTGAAACATAATCTTAGATCACTATGGTGAGCTGTTGGAGAATAAGGCTTGGGTGGACTGTGAAGGCAGCAGTTACCACCCCCTGCGGCATCGGTGAGCACAGGGGAAAGGAGGAGAGCTCTGTAAACAAAGATCTCAAGGTTCTAGCTAGTTCACAGGATGGGATACAAAGGATTAAAGCAGTTGCAGAATGAAAGGTGGGATTGCCAGTACTGATACAATCCCAATGTTGCAGCTACTGCGTGGTAACTGCTCTTGTGTATAATAGTTTTAGCTGCAGGGAATGTGTTCCTCAGTTGTCTAGTAAGCATTGATTTCTTCCTCGATTTTTGTGCTGAAACATCAGCTCTATGAAGACCTGTGTGTTTTATGTCTTTGCTATCAGTGTGTTATGCTCATGCCTTTCCTTCTACGAGGCAAGGGAGACAATGCTATGATTTGGCTAAAGTGGTTCTCGTCAAGGGAACCGCAGCTCTTCTGTGGTCTGGATCATTAGCTTCTAGTGATCACAGAGACCGAGGATGAAACTGAACCTATTTTCTGCTACTCTTAGGTGCAGATAAAAACAGCCAAGCAGCGAGTGGTGATGGCTTCACTATATCTGGGAACGGGGCTGCTTGAGCAGGAGCTGGTGAGTGTGGAAAGGGTTTGGGAAGGGGAGAAAGTGAATGCAGAAAGAAAATGCCTGCCTTTGCAAAAAGCATCCTGTTCCTGCAGGTATGAGAGGTGTATGTGAGGTGCAATTCGTGAGCTTGTAACATCCTTAAAATTTTCATATAGGGATTCAATTTACACGTGTTTTCTCCTCTCCTTGAGAGTTTTCTCAGGGTTCCTGGCTGTGTTTGTGTACTTGTACGTGGGGTGGAGGAGGGAGGAATTTGGAAGGGAGGTGTGTGGAGTTTTAGGCCTAGTACAGAGCCATGGAACTACTGAACTTTTTCACAATAAGCCTGGATCTTTCAGACTGTCAGAGGTTACTGGCATAGTCTTCAAAGGGTTTTTGCAGAACTGTGGGATCATGGGTAAATAATTTTTTTCTGGCATTTTTCTGGAACATGAATAAAGTTGTACGTATGTAGTGCTATGTTTTGTCCTCCAAGTACAGTATGCAGATGCAGTATTAGCTCTCTGCATTTAAGACAGAGGTCAGTTTTGCTTCATGTTGTTTATCTTTTTTGTTTCCTGTTCTTCCCCCTAGAAACAAAAGCATTGCCTAAGACCTTTAGGGAGAAGCCTGACCTTGGGCAGTTTCTTATGTTAGAATGCAGATTCCACAGCAGGGTAAAGGTGGACAGAGTCCTGCACAGGGTTTTGTGCCTGGCTTTGTCTGGGCTTGTACACAAGATTTGAATTTGCATGTGACAAACAGCCTTGTAGTTAAGGAGTAAAACTGCCTCTGCATCATTTGTGAACTCCTACCAAGGTTTCTCTTTGGTAATGCAAATCTATGATTCAGGAATGATGTCGAGACTTTTTCTGCTAATTTAATTGCTCTTCAGAGGCTTGAAGAATGTGCGCATGTAAAATCGATGCCCTTTCATGTATTCCTTTAGGCTCATAGCGTAGGATGCCAGTCTGACAGATGCAGAGTTTAAACTAGCAGTGTTTTGCATGAGTAGGAAAGACTTATACTAGGGTGTGGACGCTTTCATGGCCACCAGCCTCCTGTCTGCTGAATGCTTTCCTTATAAAGCTTTATTTGCTTTCCGTAATGAGTAGAGAAATCTCTCTCTGCAGGTGGATTGCTTAGAAGAAACACTGGAGAAATCACTGCATGGAAAAGGATCATCTAACCTCAGAGTTTCCATTCTTCTTGACTACACCAGGGGATCTCGGGGTAGATATTACAATGCTTTGTTTTCTTCGAAGGCTTATTTTACAGTTCAGCTGGATAAACTGTTTTTTCAGAGAGAGGCTGCCTTGACCAATTGGACTTACTTGCTTAAATCAAATACCTTTCAAAACTGGCCTTTTGTATAACAGTAGTGACTTCTTCCCAGAAAATCTTTAAGCTGAGCAGCTTTTCTTCTGAAAATAGGTGTCAGGAGCGAGAAGGGCCAAACTCTACTCTGTGCAACTTGTGCTTTCTTGCTTAGTTCACTTGTCAGTGCATTTGCACTTATCCATCATGCTCTCTTCTATTTTCATTTTTAAAAGAAAGTGGAAATTGTTGGAAGTAGCAGTACGCTTAATCAGAAACCTTTGTGGTGACTCTGTAGCATGTGTTGACTATTGGTAGACGTGGCTTGATTAAGAATCTTGAATGGTGTCAGATCTGCTCAAGTGACTGTTTCCAAGGCCCATTCATCAAAGAACTTACAGTTCTGGATGTCAATTTCAATATTGACATAGTGCAAATGAAAGCGATTAAAAAAAACAACCAACCAACCAACCAAAAAAACCCCCAAAAAACCCCCCACAAAAAAACCCAACGAACCAACCAAAAAAAAGGCGAAAAATGAGAACATGTTAAGTGCCAGCAGATGAGATGGGTGCTCGTTCTGTAAGCACCTTCTAGCTGAGGAGCTGTGGTGCCATGCCATGGTGTATCCTGTCTGGTGTGATCCTGTGTGTGAAACTTTCTTTGTCTCTCAGGTAGAAAGAATTCTCGAACAATGCTACTTCCATTGCTGCAGCAATTTCCCGAGCAAGTCCGTGTGTCCCTCTTCCACACCCCAAACCTGCGTGGACTTCTCAGGCTCCTGATTCCAGAGCGTTTTAATGAGACCATTGGACTGCAGCACATCAAGGTCTATCTCTTTGATGATAATGTGATCCTGAGCGGGTAAGTCCTGCCTCTTCAGGCCCTTACATGTTTTGTTTAGCTGAGGTTTTCAGGCAAGGTATGCATGCTACCAGTGTTGTCTGAACTTTGTTATTTACATCTGGTCTTTCCGTGGTGATCATATCAATGCTGTTCTGAGATGGAAGAGCAACCACAGCTCTTCCACATGAGGTTCTCTTATGAAAGAATCTTTCTCAAAAGGAAAAAAGAAAGACTTCTCAAGATGCAAAGGGAAATGGCCAATTTGTACTTTAGTCCAGTAATATGCAGAGTGAGATCTGTAACCTAGGCTGGGGTGTTCAGGATCATATGCCTATGCTCTGTTCTGGAACTGATCTCTTCTTTTTCTCTCCTAGCGCAAACCTGAGTGATTTGTACTTCACCAATCGTCAGGACCGCTATGTTCTCCTGCAGGACTCTCCTGAGATTGCAGACTTCTTCACGGAGCTAGTGGATGCGATTGGAGATGTGTCTCTGCAATTGCAGCGAGATGATACAGTCGAGATGATGGAGGGGATGATACACCCGTACCAAGGTAGGAGGGAGTTATCTTATCTGGTTGGATGATATGATCCAGAGGAGAGGAGTGACAGCCGGGGTTGAAGTCCATCCGTTTTTGAATTGCTGAGTGACCATTGTTTGCAGGCTGTGGGGTGTCCCATTTCTGTGCCATCCATTGTTAAAATCAAGATTGCTAGAATTTTGAGACTGGATCTGTCGGAGTGTTCCTAGCACAGTGGCTATCACCAGCTAATCTGGCAGAGCGTGCAAAGGCTAGAAGTTCCTCTGTAACTGTCACTGCTTCTTCATAATTCTGCTCCTTATGGCCTTAAACAAGAACTTAAATTCCTTGAGAGGTTCTTTCTATTTTTGATATTAATGTCTACAATTCTAGATGTTCTGTGTTTACATATTCTAAAAGTTTCATCAACGTAGTGCTATTTTTAGTAACTAATATTTTGTAGTCAAGTCTATTCTGGGAATCAAGTGAATATTGGATTAGGAAAATCAAGAACAAGTGTTGAAGTGGGCAGAGAAGGCCATTTATCTGGCAGGCTGATTGCATCATAAGTTTTTGTCCTGGCCTTGTGCACTGCTGTGTGATGTAAGCTTAGACTGTGAGCAGTAGTTTATTTTATATGTTCCCATTCATTCATGGTTACCATTTTAGCTTTGGCCTGGTCTTTTAATTTCTCAGTGGATTTTTGAAGCTGCTGCTAGTCAAGTTTCTTACCCTTTTTGAAGCTGAATATTTTTGTTCTGTAATGTAGCTTTGCTAACCTTAAAACATCTCTTTTGAGACTTAGGGAAGAAAGTTGTGTGGTCTTCGTGTTAGCTCCTTTTTGTTCTCATATTGGTGTCCTGTCAGTAGTTTTTCTTGCTACGTAATAGGTGATGCGTAGCTCTGTACCTTTAAGTCTCAAACACAATCTCTTGTGGTTTTCCTGCAGGAGACAAGATGGCTTACTGTGAAATAGCAAATCGAAGAGTCATGGAAGTGATCAACTCTGCCAGGACGCGACAAGAACTCCTTCACTCAAAGGCCTTCCACAGCAGCCAGCAAGGCAGCTCCTTGTTATCCCAGCAAGGCTCTCCAGCATCTGGGGGTCTGAAACCAGAACCTGACACCTGGATCTATCCCTTAATCCAAATGAAACCTTTTGGGATTCAAATAGATGAGATGGTCACAGAGACGCTGCTGACAGAGGCTGAACGGGATGCCAGGATATACCTTACCACTGGCTACTTCAACCTGACACAAGCTTACATGGACCTCATTCTGGGCACTAGGGCTGAGTATCGGATTCTTCTGGCCTCACCAGAGGTGAATGGTTTTTTTGGTGCCAAAGGGGTGGCAGGTGCCATCCCTGCTGCCTATGTTTACATTGAACACCAATTTTACAGTGAGGTCTGCTACCTTCACCAACAGGAGAGGGTCCAGCTGCAGGAGTACTCTAGGGCTGGGTGGACTTTCCACGCCAAAGGTAAGATCTCCGTTTCCCAAGAGGACTTGTTCAGAAGGCGTTTGAGACTTGTGCGTGTTTGGATTGCACAACTATTGAGGGCATGGCTGGGTGCCGAGTCTAGGCTTAACCTCCAAAATACTTATCCAAGATTCAGACATCTTGCTTGCATAAATCTGGAAGGTTTGGATCACTCAGGGGACAACCATGCAAAGTCATGCCTTGCCTCTGGATTACCAGTTTGAATATAGTCCCAGACATTATACAAGAATTGTCCCTGTGGTGACAGTAAGGCACCGTCTTGATGTGAAATTTGATGTGAAAGAAAAGGAAGCACCTGGATATATTTATGATCACAGTTAACAGTTGTGATGCAGTTGCTTGTACCTCTCTTCCCAGTTTCAGCAATAAGAAGTGACGACTGTGTCAGGGACCCAGGGGTGGGGTCTGCGGCAGAAGCAGGAAGGGGACTCGCTAGTGGTGACTCCCCAGTGGTCCTGGACGCCGTGTTCTCTTGGCAGCAGGTCATTGTGGGAATGATGCAGGCGTTGAGGAATTTGTACCAGCTTCTGTTTATGGTATACAGGAAAGTGCAGCATAGTGAATAACTGCACCCGTGTGCTTTCTGGGAGCTGGAGGCAGCTGGAGGGGAAGTTGCTGAGAAATTAATATTGCTTAACAAATGTAGTTAATAATAAGCAAAAATAATTCATGCTGCCATCATGGTCTTCTGTTGAAGACTCCAGATTCTTTCTTGCTTGATAGGTTGTGTACATCTTTCACAAGCTCAGTGCCAAATTGACGGAAGCATGAATGTTTTCCCCTGACTGGTTGTTGCTGGTTGTGTCTCTAAATTTTCCTTCCAGAAAATGTAGTCCTTGACTCTTATGCTCTCCTACTTTATGCACAGTTCTAAGTATGTGATTGCTCTGTAGTAGATTTTAATTATGCAAATGACCTAGGAAGTCTACTTAATTGAGGTGGTTTTTTTTGAGAAGTCTGGTGCATGTGACACTTTATAAATGTTGAGGTTCTTATGATCCTCCCACGTGAAGGTGCACCAGTGGAACACCTCACAAAACGACTTGGTCTCGTGGTCCAGCGTAGCCCTCGGCCCAGCTGAGACGTCTTTGCCACGTTCCACAGCACCTTCTGTTACTCTGATCTTCTGCAAGCAGAGCTCTGCACCGTGTCACCGTGTCACTTCCTGAGATGGCTCGGTGGTCCCCTAGGACAGCTCTGTTACTGTAAGGGGACCCGGCCTGGCACAAATTAACAGGCGGGTTTCGCCAGCCGGCTTCGCAGTGTGCTGAGGGGCATTTCCATTGTTTGCAGCACTGTCTGATGTGAATGCTGGAAGGATGCAGCCCTCCGACCTGTTCCTGTTCCGGAGTTCTTCTCCCGTTGTTTGTTGAAGGAGAGGAGCTGTTAATGATTGTGGGAATGCCTCTATCCGCCCTGCTTCCTGCAGGGCTGTTCAGGGGTGGTGGGGAGAGAAAGCTGCTGAGTAGGTCTTCTTTTGACTGAGGAAAATACCCAAGTGTTACTAGGCTGCCTCTATGTCGAAACTACAAACCTTTCTGGCGAGTGTTGTGCCTTTCCTGCAGTGAGATCAGTAACTCTAGTGCGGTAAAACCCTTATCTCAATCCAGGGCAGCCTGAAGGAGGTGCCTGCCTGGCTGGGAAGTCCTGTGTGGTCTGTCTTCCAGGAAGCGTGTGCTCAAGCAATCTGTGGTTCGCAGGTTCCCCTCTTGCTGGGCACTGCTGGCTCTGAGTGGGATTTTGTGGTTTGATGTGGATTGAGCTTGGAAGGCATGGGCTGCTTTTCCAAGCTGCCAAACTGCTTGTGGCAGTTGATTCCTTTTTGGGCCGTCTGTGCCTTCTGGTGGAAGGACTTTGGGCTCTATCTACTGTATGGTGTTCTCCTTGAGAGAGGGGACACAGGACTGGAGGAGTTCAGCAACTCCCATGCTTGGCAGGAGGGACAGGCAGAGATGTTTGCTGCCTTCTTCCCATTTCCTCTTCGGAGTGCTGGAAGGATCAGCGTGTAGCTCCCTTCTCTGGCACGCTCTGCCCTTTGGCACATGTTTGGTTTGCCGGGTTTCCTTCTGCAGGAGTGACGCAGTGTGTGTGAAAGAGAGGACAGGTCAGAAGTGGGAAAAGGAGGAAACCTTGGAGACAGATGAAGGGCAGTTGCACGTGGAGTCTGGCTCCTGGAAGAGGACATGAGATCCCTACCAGCAAATAGTGCCTGTTCATACTTCCTTTTTGGGCTAAGACAAAAGACACCTTTTAGTCTCCTACAAGATCTAGCTGATTTACACCAAACTGTGACTGCTGTTTTGTAAACCCTTCCAGCTCCTCTTGAAACATTTTGTATCCTCACGCACAACTTGCTGCAGTGTGTATTCCCAACTGTCCTTAGGTTTGTTCAGTGCAAGTGCGGTTGTAGCGGAGGCTTGCACAGCCATTGTGTACGTGTGAGTAAGAAATGCAGACATTTACAATGAGAGAGGCTTTCCTGGGTGTAACATCGTGAAGCCTACCTGCAGCAGTGCACATCTACCCATCTTCTGCATTTCTGGGTGTGGTGGTGTCGGTGACACACATACATCCCTTAGGATTAGGGTCCGTTCCATGCAAGTGTTGGGTGACAAGAGTGCCGGGCAGGTGGCGGTTTGCTCTGAGATAAACCTGTGTTACTGCTATTGAATGGCATCTGGGAAACTGCGCTTCCCCTTTCTGGAAAGGTGAGTCACTGTTTGAGCAGATCCTGCCAGGTGGCCATAAAGCCAGAGCCACCATAAAGATTTTAGGGCTGCCGCGTGACAGCTTAGAGTGCGGGAACGTGCTCCTCGTAGCTGCTGCCCGGGCAGGGCTCTGGCCCTGTTGTTGGGAACCTTGTGCCGCGACTGGGCTGGGGCACCGTGCAATCTGTGGCAGCCGTCCTACTTGGTGGCAGAACTTGTCGAATCTCTGTGCCACTTGGGCGCTTTTTGCGGCTGCCAGAGCCCCCCGCATCGGCGCTCCTGCCCTTCTGTGTGTGAGGATGAGCCTGCGGAGGAGTCAGTCGTGCGGCTGAACTATGGGTAGTGCCAGCTCTGAGCCAGGAGATGTAACTCAAAGTGGCAGCAGAGCTGTTGAGTGTGTGCAGCGTGGGGGTGGGGAGGAGGTTACAGGAACCAGTGGTGAATCGGCAGCTTCTTACTCAAGGCATTCTTGGAACTGCTCTGGGGTTGAGTTAGGAAACCTGCTTCTATTTTAAGGACTAGGTGGTTTTTATGCTACGGTTTCTTTGTAGTCTTTGTGTGACTTGCAATAGGGATAAACCATCTATCAGGGACCTGCCCAGGGCTGTTCCAAGCACTTGTGCCATGCTAAGTGGAGAGCAAACACTTCTTGGGTCCGTTTATACACAGAGAATGGCTGTATAGACTCTCCTTGGCAATAGTCCTGGCTCTCCTGTGGCATGCATAGCTGTTCTTTCCTGCCATGCTACAGTGGCGTGCTTGGAAATAGTACGGTGTTTCCATCTTGTGCTTGAAAAAAACAGTCCTGGGTTGTGTCACGCTTGCTCTTGTTGTTGCACTGGCAAAGTTGTGTGTGAAATTGAGTGGTGAGAAGATTTGGGACTCTTGCATCCTGGCAAGAGTTGGATTTCATCTTCAGGTGGCTCCTCAGGAAGTGAGTGGGTGTAATAATTTGTACTTCTCTTACAAGTCTTTATTTCATGTGAATTCACCTGTCAGAGCAGGGAGATGCCTCTTCATGTCACTGTTTTGTGTAGTCTCGGTAAGGCGTTAGTCACTGTGCAACTGCACTGCTCCCAGTTCTGGAGCTGACGGGTCCAGGCCTGGCTTGTGTGCCTGGTGCTCTGCTGCTTGGTGTAGGTTTTCCTTTACTGAAAAACTGTGTGTCTTATTTCAGTGTTTCTGAGAGATGCCGTGGTACAAAGCGACCTCTGGCTTAATGATAGTGACTCCTTTGGGATTATTTTGGGGGCCCACCATGCAGCATATTTACATTCTTAAGAGTGTGTCCCTAGGGCAGCACTGAGCGTGCTGCAGGCCCCCTGTTAAGAGACGACAAGTTTGGACAACGCAAGCTGTGCAGGGGTACCCCAAGATTCCTACGAAGCTTTACAAGACATGCTAGACCACCTGCAAGGAAGCTTTCTTTGTGTTGTGATCTTTTATAGTTGCTGTAATCTAACATGTTTAATTCATTCGAAGTGAAGTGATTGTGTGAGGCTACCCGGGTCATTTCCTTTGTCTGCCACGCTTCCTTTCTCTCCTGTTTTTCCTGCAGGCCTCTGGCTGTACCTGGCAGGAAGCGATCTTCCCTGTCTAACTCTGATTGGCTCGCCTAATTTTGGATATCGATCAGTTCATCGTGACTTGGAAGCTCAGATTGCGATAGTGACAGAAAATAAAGCTTTGCAGCAGCAACTCCATCAGGTAAGCGGCTGGTTATGGGGAGATAACATGGATGTTGTGCTTCTTGGTCACATAGGGAATGCTGATGACGCAGTTGCAATAAAAACCTACAACTACAATAATTCAAAACCTTCTTGAGCGTAGGAAGTCTCAAGGAGCTGTCAGTTAAGTGACTATTGATGAGATGCCTGCTGCAAGTGCCTGTTTCTGGGAAATGGAGGCCATAACAGGAAAGAACACGTGTCCCCAGTGAACTCGAATATCGGGAGTGCTCAGGCACTGGATGCTGAGAGACACAGCATTCAGAGAGGATCTGCTGGCTCTCCTCTGCTCACACAGCACATTCTTGGGCCTTACCCCCAATATTTGGGCATTGCCAAGGTTGCACCATGCTCTAGGATAATGAGGTCAGGCCCTTTGAATTGCTGATCTTGGTCTTCTGGAGGATTTTGCTTCTCAGGCATTTGGGAAATCCTTTGTAGGAATATAAATGCCAATCAGTTAGCTTTTGGGTGGCTGCCGCAGGCAGTGGAGGTGACTAAAGACAGGGGATCTTAGTGTAGTTTCTACAAGAAGAGGATTTCTGGGCTAGTTGGATTGCCCATGAGGTTATATGACATAATATAATCTTGAATAATAATGTGACATTATATAATCTTGACACAAACATTTCTGAGTGGTTTGATGTTCAGTGTCCCAGGGTGGTTTTTGTTGTTGTTGTTTTCTTTTTTTAATTAGGCAGCTTGGACTGCTCAGCACTTTTGCTGCTTCTCTAAACCCTGTCTGGTTCTCCAGCTGTCTTGACTCTGAATCTTCTGGTGGAAGTGACAGTGTCCCAAGTAATTTCTCATGTAGTTCTCTGATACGAAGCAAATTGGTTTGGTGCCTCTGTGTGTGACTTAAGGATCTCAAAAATGTATTCTGTTAAGCCAAGTCCTGGCATAAGAAGGCACAGTTGTCTTCAAGATCAATGGGAATTGCCCTATTGCATCAGGGCTCTTCCACAGGATGAGTCAGAGTATATCTAATCAAAAACAATTCTATTACTGGAAGAGTTGCTCGAATATTTCAATTCATATCTTGCCTCTACTTGTTTCTAATGGAAGGGGAGAATCAATGAAAATATGACAAAGGAATTTTCTCAAACAGTGCAGCAGTGATCTAATTTAAAGGGCTTTAAACCATTCCCATTTGCTGGAAGCTGATTTTGAGATTGGCTGTTTGTTTGTTTACTGTTCTGTGATCTTTCTTTAGAAGACTTAATACATTACTGGTACGCTGCCATGAAATCACTTTGCCTATGTAACATTCAGTTCCATTTTAAAAATGTGTGATGAGGTTTGGGAAGAAATTTGAATGGTCTGAGTATCTTTGGATGCTCCACTGAATGAACTGAACTTCAATTCAGACAACTGGTCTCACTTCCAGTGATCAGGTGACCTCACCATATCCAGATGATCACAGTGCAGAATCTTCATAGCAGGACTGACTATAGCTCTTGGAGCATTTGGGGTTTCTAAAATTAGACTAATTTGGCACACAAATATCTTCCTCCTGTTGTTGGTTCATCTTTTTGGTGTTACTTTCCAGTGCTTGGTTCCTGCTTCCCTGTTTCACCCTGAATTTAAACAGTGCAGAATATTTTCTGTTGTTTGTGACAGCTTAGCTAATGAAAAAAAAAAAAATTATCAACAGACTTACAGTAGATGGTCTGCTCCTTGTTTGCTTGCAAATCTAGAAACCTGACTGGCTTTGATAAGAAAACCACTTCTACCTTTGATCAAACAGCTGCTTTCACGTGCAATGCGAGCATGTATTATCATCATGATGGTTCATTTCCTCCTTCAGCAGTATTGAGTACACACTGGAGAAGCCTAAGTGTTTCTGGTAATTTAGTTGAAATCATGACTGCATATTCATTTGAAAACACAGTGCTTGAGCTGTGTCTAGAAAGAGCTGCGTAAGCCAGTCTCTTGAGATTATGGTAAGGTTTCTTCTTCTGGCAATTACAGTGAGGGATTTAGGATTTTTCTGAAAGTGAAGCTTAGCTCTCTTGCAACTGTGGGGCACAAAAAGACAAAACCTTCTACCTTTGTTCTTTGTAGAGTTCAAATCGCTAATTCTTGAGATTCGGTTACTGAGTGCACTGATAGTCATCAAAAGTGGCAGGCGGGTGTGAAGGACAGATCCTGTGCTAGGTCCTTGGTGGTTTAGTTGCTTTGTGAGTTGTACTGCATGGAATGAGACTCTTACGTTCAGGCTTGTGGGAGAAGTGATGCATCCTTTTGGCAGGATCCATGGCCAGTTTTATCCGAGAATTCGCTTTTCTTAAGAGCCATTATTTAATTTAACACTTAGGATTTACTGGGATAATGTTTCTTTGCCTGTATAGGAGCAGGAGCAGCTTTACCTCTGCTCAGGTGTAGTCTCATCGTCAACATTTGAGCAGCCAAATCGTTATGTGAAACTGTGGGTGAAGCTGGTAACACCACTGATCAAGAATTTCTTTTGAAAGAAGAAAAGTTGCTGCTTTGGGTGAGTTTTCTGCTGTTCTTCTGGGGAATTTATATTGCACTGACTGCAATTAATAAGTGCAGTACTCTCTATCGTGTGGAAGAAATAGATCATGGAAAAATAGATGATGTGGGGGGAAAAAACAGACATCTCTCTTTTCTGGGGTACTTGCCACTGACTGGAATCATTGCTCAAGGTCTCTGTTGGGTTTCATCTACTAGAATTTCTGGAAGGGTCAATGAAAGAGAACCTGGACAAGGGTATTTCCCATGCATGGGAATAAAACTTCCATTTCTGAAATGTCCCTTTCAGAGTTTTGTGGAGAGGTACTGTGTTTATTTTATCTTGACTAGCTAACAGAAGACATTGTTGGAATACTTAAAATGTTTTGTCTTCTTTTTATCTGATCAGTGCTTTGCTTTTAACCTTGTAGATGTTGGTTAACAGGGGCAGTTGTTTTTGCTTTCCTACTTTGTACAGTGTCCTGGATTTGCCTGGCTGTTCGACTGCCCAGTAACTGGAGCCCTTCTGAGCTTCATGGAATCGCTCTTAGATTATTTTTTTTTTTCTGTGCTGTGGACATAGTCCATGTACCTAAGTGTGTGCCCTTTATGCTGAGTGTTCACACATCCATTTTATTTACATAAATATGGTCTCCATCTCTGGGGTTGTGTATCTGGCTCCTTCATGTTAAGATGTGTTATGTCTTTCATGAATTGCGGAGATAGAGGACTTTTGGTGCTAATGTGATTTTTGGCTGTTACTTGCGGAACGTAGGAGGCTCAAACCGTAACACATACCCTGCAAAGAAATTGGTTGGGAAGCCAGGTAAAAATGTGTTAGAGCACAGGCTTGGGCTGCCCTATGAGTTTCACTGGTGGAGTATGTGCAGTGTGTTCTGATCTTTTTTGCCAACAAAAGGGGTTTCTGGCACCTGAAAAGGCTGAAGGTAAGTGTAAAACTTCATGGTAACTTACTCTAAATGCTACTAGTTTATAAAGAAACAAGCAGCTCTACTGTCCTCCCCTTGTGGCTTTTCTTACCGCTAGCTGTGAGGGATGTTTTATGCAGCTGTACTTTAGAACTAATTGTTCAGATATTTCACGGAGTGGGATTTTGGTGAATTATTTTATGCTAAAGGGACAGGCCTTGGCTTCCATATGGTGGCCAGAGCAGATCTAATCACCCTAATAGGCATCACTGCTGGTACAAATTACTTGTGAAAGAAAGGGTAAAGTAGGTTCTATAACCTAGAAATAGAAGGAAACACTTCGGAGACTGATCTGTTTGCGGCTGGACTTTCTTTGGGTTGTACAGGTTGACATGTTGGTGAACTGGGCCAAATCTGTGCCTTTCTTCTTCCATCTGGTCTAAACAGATACATGCTTCCATGCAGGAATGTGTCGTGCGCGCAGCTTGATGAATTTCTGCTCGCAGTTAGCACTGAGCGATCAAACAAATAGCTGTGGAAAGACAGAGAGCTATGAGAAGGAAAGGAATCAGCATAGTTGCATGCAGTTATTCTGTTTGGCTTCTTTCGGTGGTGTGGCTCTCAGCCAACACTTTATCAGAAACCACCAATTGAAAACCAGTATCCACCATGAGAAACTCCATGTATTGTAAGAGCAGTCTCCACCTGACAGCAGTTTCAGCACTGTTTTTATTGATACTTTGCTAAAATAGTTCTGGTACAATCAAACTTAGTCTAAGTTACACAACTTTGAGTTGTGTGTGGGTTGTTTGTTTTTTTTTTTTAAGTAAAAGTATTTGCTGTTTTCCATAGTCATTAAAGTTTAGATCTGTAAGAGCAGAGCAACAGCGGCAAGGATCCACTTAGCGGCTTTTTCTTTTGTCTTTAGGTTAAAGGTCCAGACGTAGGTGGGACCTCGCATCCATGTCTTATAGACAGGACATTCATATACGTTCTTGGTGTCCATGTGGTCCGCAGGGATGGCTCTGATGAAGATGACTGGCATCAGGAACGTCAACTCCTTCAGTCGAGCGTCTGCGATCACACCAGAAGGGATGTCCCATCGAGAGCCTGCAATATTATGAAGTTGTCAGGGTACCAGCTGCCCAGTGGCTTTTTCACTTAGAGAGGGCTGGTTTTGTAACTACTAATGGGTGGGAAGGAGTTGTTCTAGCAGCACAGTGGAGGATGGAGTGTGAAGGTTGGGTAGCCGTGGCTTAGTAGTCGTTAGGGCTAACATGTTATCATCTCACTGTGACTCATGAATGCATTTTGCCTTACTGCATGTGGGATGTCTAAATAAATTCTGTCCCCAGTCATCCCTTCCGCACAGGTTTACATGAAAGTTGCATAGCTGAAGGCAGAACTTGGCCATGGTGGGAACTATGATAAACTCTCCTCTGTGGTCTGGGCTTTTGTTTAAGTGGACCCCTTTAGTGCTCTGCTGATCTCATTCCCCCTCATTTTTTAGCAGTAATTATTTTAGATTCTGAGTTTCCTGATTTGTTTTGCCCACACATCAAATAAGAGCCCAATATATTTATTCACTAGAACTGTGTAGCTTCAGACAACCCAGTCATTAGGTTCGTGATAGACGGTCTGACTTTCCCAGAAACAGTTTCTGGTTTGTGAATCTCTGCTTGTAACCCGGGTGGGTGCTGCGCTCTGCTGGCCTGTCTCTGGCATTAGCGTGGAGTAAAGGCTCCCCTGCCTGCAGCTTTTGCAAAAGGTGTACACATTCAGATAAGCCGGTGAGTACTAACACCTGCTCTGTTTGCAAGAATGTTTAAGACTGAACTGGGCTTTCTCCATATCTGAAACATCCCATAAAAGATGCCGTCTTTTACCTTCCATGAATAATCCATGCACATAGGAGCCTTCTCTGGGTGGAGCTGTTATATCCTCGCGGTTTTTCTTGGTCACTTCCACTGAAAGACACATCTTGTCCAGGGGGCATTCATTTTTTCTGGCTGTGGACTGCATGATAGCAGTGAGGAAGGACTGGAGATTGAAGAATCCTGCCAGCCACACAGTTGCAGGCAGCACAAAGTCTGTTGTCCAGACTTCCAGTTCCTGGAAAATAAAAACAGCAAAGTACTTCAGAGTGAAGCATAGCCTTTGGGCACCTGAATACTGCTTTGAGACATGATGTGACAAAGAGCTGATGCTTCACTGTGCCTAACACGAGCTTCAGGTGATCTTCCAGAGGGAGAGACTAGGATGGAGGTTGTCTGTGATGAATAAATAGCAGATTCCACTGCAGCAATGAAACTTAAACCGTTAATTTGGATTGCAGTAAATACTGCTATTTTTTTAACAAAGCCACACTTTAAAGAGATGGTTTTATTAAATTTTTTTTTTCTTCTGAGACATACAAAGTTATGATGGGGTTAGCTAACGTTCTTTTGAAACAGTGATATACTCTAATGGTGAACCCTTTTCAAACTTCTGCTCTCATTCTTGGGGTAACAGGCCATTTTGGGTACTTCAGACTGCTTAAATTAATATTGAAAAATAAACCAGTTAACTGCCGTACAACGATGGAGGTGATTCCTGGTCTTCTGTGGTATCCGCTTGCTCCCTAAGCTTTAACTTTCACAAGAAATCTGCTCACCCTGATCCGAAGGAGCAGATCTGCATACCAGGCTCCTAAGCTAAGAAGAGAGGGATAGGCATAACGTGTCCAGGATTCAGGAACATTGTCGTAGAAGAGAGCGTTTGCCAGCTCTTCCATATCTGATGTAATTGTTAGCTCTCCCTTTAAAAAAGAGAAAAGTCTGGGCAGTTTTATCTGAAGAAAGCAAGGCTGATGGAAGTATTTGGTCTGATACTTGGTAAGAAGCAGGAGGCTCGTACCGTCTGGCCATACCCCACACAGTGGGAGGTGTAAGAGTGTGAGCAAGGGTAGCCAAGCACTTTGTACAAGATGGGGGTCGGAACGATTGACAACCATTTGCAAATCATGGAAAGTTATTTGTTTGGGGGAGGCACTTTCTAGAGACATACGTAATGTTTACCTTTAGTCCCGCGTCTAACTCTTTCAAAGAGCGCCTGATTTCATGGGTCAAGATGTTCATTCTTTCACATTCCTGGAAGGCAACTACAGCATATGGAGTCTTGTCCACAGCTTTCACCATGATCTCCACCATATTGAATGGCTCTGGCAGCCTCTCGATAATCTCGTCTAGGACTGACTTCACCTGGAAAGAATATGAAATAGAACTGCTCTTATCTAAGGAACAATGCTGTGGGTGAACAGTTAATTAACCTAGTAAGATTTTTCTTTTTCTGCCTTTCCGTTTTCCTGTGCTTTCTCCTCTGTTACTAATACTCCATTCTTTCACTAACTACTCTTGGATATTAAAAAGCTGCAGCTCTTTTTCAGTAGCCAAGAAGGTAAGAACTGAAGCCATGGAAGCTGTGAAATTAAAATGTAAAATCCAGGGAGTCAGGAGGAAGACTTTTTTTTTCCTTTTTTTTTTTTTTAAAAAAAAATAATCTATTTTTAATAGTTGCTATCATGAATGGAAATTACTAAGCCTGCTCCATCTGCTGAGGACGCAGCATGTGAGCCACATTTTGCCACTGGCACATCTCGACCCCATCAAAGAGTAACCCTCCTGAATGCTGCTGACTTCTGTAACTGCACCATGTGTTCAGATGGAGTGAAACTTGATGGGGTAGCGTTTCAGGCCCTTCTCTTTACCCTTTGGGCTTCTCAGAGGTGCTGAGGAGAGCAGCTCATGGTCTTATGATCTGCGTGACTAGCTGCCTGCCTGTCTGGGGTCTAGATTGATGCAAGAGCAGGGAAGAGGGGAGGGAGCTGCAGATGGGACAGGGACAAGTAGGCAGCCGCAACCAGTACGTCATCACCCTGGGCTGCGGTATCAGTGCTGCCTTCTCAGCGGCTGTAGAGCAGTGAAGAGTTTGCTCGTGTTCAATTACATCACCAATGCCAGAGACTGGCAGAGTTACTGAAATGGAAACGAGGCCCTGGTCACAGAGAAACTGAGTGCAAATACACTTAAATAAGAACTTGACAGGAGTGTCCAGCTGAGCAGAGACTGCAGCGTTACTTGTGAGCTCTGCGCTAGCAGCCCCCCCCTCTCCAGGCTGAGAGCGTGTAGCATTAGGTACTGGGCTAGAATCACATCTCTCTGCTGTCTTGTGCTGGTAAGAAATCGGTTATTATTACAGGTCTTATTCTCCTGTCCGTTGTGTGTGGGCCTGTATCTGTCCTCCCCATCTGGCCTCTGGATTGTCATTGTTTACTGTAAAGAGGCAGAAAATTTACTTGCCTTTTCTTCTTGGGAGACACCTGAGCCTCCTCCAGTGTCTGATTCTTTAGGCTGCATTTCCAAAACTGTCCGAAGTGACAGTCAGGAACCCAATTTCTGCATTGGGGTGAAGGCCATACAAGTAGGGGCTCTCCGGCGGCAGGTTGTCATCAGTGTACACATGGTAGCCCTAAGCACAGGGCAGACACTGACGTTAGTTTAGCAGATATGTACAAAGCAGCACGAGTTTCACTTCAGCCTTGAAAATACGTCATGGGTTTTCAGTGGTGGTGCTTCACAGCCAGCTGGCGTTGCTTATTCAAGATGTTTTTTTTGCTCATGTCTTACCTAAGTTTTTCCCTTACCACCCCAGCCACAGGAATTATTTTTGCTGTCATTTTGCATGTTTCCATGGGATTGAAACTTTTTTCCCCTACATTCCCCCTTGATTAGCATGAGGGAACTCTGACTAGTGCGCTTTTATCCAGAGCAGTGGTTTTCTACAGCAAATTGCAGTGTTAATCTTTCTTACCTTGTAATCCAAGTTGGGAGGGATCAAAAACCTTGGAGCTAAATACACTTCCCCTTCCAGCATCTCTGCGTGGATGTATTCACTCAGGTAGGTCCGACAGAGCCGGCGGTCCCAGTCGTCTGTGATATGCCCCCCGTACAAAGAGGTACCGGAGATCATCCCATGGTACCTATGAGGAGAGACTCACTGTCGGCTTTCTGTCTGGCTCCCCAGAAGTCTGCTGCAACCCGGGAAAGCTGCAGGTGACTGTAGAGCGTCCAGGGAGGTGACTGTCCGTGACAGTCCCTGGACCCGCAGAGGCTCGGTGACAGAGTGAAGGGGAGCAAGACAGGGGACCTTGGCTCAGATGCTTCTTGTGTTCACCCACAGATTTCACCTTGTCCTGGTATGGACACAGCTGTCCATACTTTGAACCCCCATGAGCCTGTCTTTATTCAGATCAACGTTGATCATGTCTGTGAGGCCAGGTGAAAGCAGGACTCTCCTGAGGGTGAGACCTCAAGCCTACTCATTGCACCTTCATTCTCAGGGTAGGCTTTGCCTTTTAGGTGGAAAGTAATTTAAAAAAACCAACCCAACAAAGCACCGAGGTGTGAGCCCGCTTTTCTACCCAGCTCAGTCAAGCTGAGGACTCTGCACCTTCAGCTGCCAGAGCATGCAGGCAGCTCCCTGGGGAGGAGGGGAAGAACTACTGGTGACACTGTGTTTCTTCAAGAGAAGGCATTTGTGCAGCAAACTGATGAATTTTTAAAAAAAGGTTGATTGTCGTAGTGTGTCCTGTGCTGAGGTATGGTTGCTTTATAAGTCCCTTACCTTGGGGTTAGTCTCCAAGTAGTTGTACAGGACGTTAATCGATATGGTCAGGTCACTGTTGTTGAAGGGGTAAGATCTGTTCCAGCCTTGAGTGCCGAACTTGTGCCGCTCGGCCACCACCGCGTGGAAGTAACAGGGTGCAAACAAGACACATTTGAACTCGATTTCTTTGCTGCACATCTCTAACGTGTCCTGCAGTGGAATAAAAATGAGAGTGGGTTTGCAGGTGAATGAGAGAATATCGCTATTGGGCATCCCTCTGTTGAAGAAAATCAACAGACGATGGCAAAGGAGAGCTGGAAGTTGTTTATTAAAACAAAAAACAAAATTATCTTTTAAAGATTTGCTAGTTGGTTAATTTTTGCACTCATTTGTTTATAAAAAAAAAAATTGGGAATCCACGTACACCCTGCTGACAGTTGAGGAGGCTTGTTCATGGCACCAAGCTGCAGCAGCCTGACATTCCACCTTGGGAAAGGCACCAGTAATTCAGCACCCTCTCTGGTCTGGGAACTCTCGGGCAGCTCTGGTTACCCCTAAATCACGTCATGACAAATGTGGGCTCTGGGCACCCCCAGGAGGATGTGCCTGGGGTGGGGGGGCTGGCTCCTGGCGCAGCATCCGTGTCTACAGTGATGTGCCCAAAGATGCTCAGCCTGTGAAACCCCAGGGATGGGGTGAGCTGGGCACGCTGAAAGGAACTGGCTGTGCACAGCGCGACCACGGTGGGGGAGAGCAGCACGGTGGGGTGAGGGTACCTGGGTGAAGAGGTCGAGGGCTTTGTGCAGGTTGGCATACATGCCTGTCGGCAGCTCATTGGTGATTTTGATGGCGTTTTCCAGCAGTCCCTGTGGGATGATGTGCGCCTTGGGGCTGGGGGCTGGCTCGGCGCTCATGAACGCCCGATAGTCAGCATGGCTGTTTAGGCTGTACTGCTCCACCATTTTCTCCAGCGTGCCCAGCCACCGGCTCACCAGGTGGATGTTCTGCAACAGGAACCCCTCCTGTACTGCTTGGGCCAAAGTACAACCTCGGGAATCACTCATTCTCCCCCAGATTCCTGCCGTGGCTCCACACAGAGCAGGTGCGGCACAAAACAGCACCGCTTGGGCTGGGGACACCCAGCTAACCCAGGCAGTGTCACTGCCATCACGTGGGGTACACCATGGAAAACCCTGTGCCCTCATTGCAGGGCCGCCATCCTCTTTTGGCAGCCTCCCACGCTTTTGGCCTCCACTCTCTGTTGCCATTCTCCTCCTTTGTGGCCCCTCTCTGGTTCCCTTGGCGCAGGCCGGCGGTGTTTGGTGCACACCAGAGATCTGTCTGTCCTGGACGTCCCCTCGCCGCCTGCCTTGCCCGTGACGGTGCAGTGAGGGTAAGGGGCTATTGTGCCCCGGCCCTTGCCTGCTGGTACCTCCTCCATCCCCTCCCGCTGCAGGGAGCAAGGGGTGCTGTGCTCTCCCCTCCATGGCAGTGCCCAGCAGCGCCTGCTTGAAGGGGCGGCAGTCGCTCTGC